CGGTATTAGTCATTTCTTCTTTGTATTGCAAAAGCAAGTTATGAAGTCTAATTGTTTTTAGACAAATTAGTATTGTGTTTATATTCACAAAGCAATTTACATCTTGTTATTTAGTTCAAGCATGCCAATTAATGATATATTCTGATTTATCTCAGAATTGTGGGGGTGTATTAATATTTTTGTGTAATTATTTGCCAACAAGAGAAATTAAATTTCCTTGGAATGCTTAAAATATGGGGGTGCTTGGAAAATTTTACTAAAGTAACGGTTCCGATTGTAGGTCCACAAAGAATCTCAATTCTTTTTATAGGATAAAGTTGGAGTAGAAGCAAATATGGTTTCATTTACTCCTAAGGAACACCTCTATGTTTATTATTTAAATTTGAAAATAGAAGTGACATAGAGTAACGGTAAGTCTCAATATAATCAAAGACTTAATACCGTAAGACATTTGCTTTCAATTGTGCATATTGTCTAAGGATAATATAGTGGATCCACGAACTACTCAATGATATATAACTGAGAAGGTCAAAACGGAAAATTAGTGGCTGCTAAACAAAAAGTTTGACCAGAGAGCAAATGAGGAAAAGTTTATCGAGGGGAATGTGATTAAAGCCTACTACACTAGAGTCATCATAATGGTAACCCTACTTAGATGACTGGATATCCCAAGAATTAAGTTCAAAGGGACAACTAAGTTATGTGTGGCTTGCCAAAAATCACTAAAGGAGTCTATCTCCTATCCATTCCTATGATGAGAGTGATATCTACAACATGTGTTGTATGTAAGGGATTTAGGGTAAGTTATGCTTTTAATGATCACTTATATCTTGAAAACCCTAGAGGGGATATCTTTCAAGAGGAGTATTTAAGAGACTCGAAATAAGGATCACTTATATGAGTGTGAAGGGGCCGCTTCTATGAGAATTGATAAGGCTAAATTTTCTAAAGCACTCATGAAATACCAGGACTTGCCCAAGGCCAAAACGGGCACAACCGTGAGAACTAAACTGTGTTTGGAGATATTTTGTGTGAATTCTATTGTCTTGGGTTACACAAACGGCTGAACAGTTCAAGGCATCATGTCCACTGATTAGCTAGTAAGTCCGATAGGCTTTCACTAGGAAAGGTTCAAAGCCGAAAGCTACCTATCCCGAGGCAGGGTATTTCCTTAATGTACTCTCTCTTTGTCTGCATGTTGTTGCATGTCCTTTCCGTAAATTTCATTCATGTGGGGGATTGTCAGAAAATTTGAATTTAAATTTACTCCAATGGTTGTGTCTCTTGAGATGGAAGGGTGTGTCCTTTTGAAGGGTCACAACCTTTCTAAAGAGTCATGGAGGAATCTATAAATTCCATCCCTCTCACTTCATTTTAGCATAGAGAATTGTCATTTTCTTCTTCACTTTGCATTTGTTCTTCATATTTCCTGAGTCTAATTTTCCTATAAAGAGAGTACATACACAGCGAAGTTCGCTAGGCTTGCAATAGTAGTGCTGCTAGTGCAAGACATTGATCGTTGTATCCTGGGAGGTAGACGTCCATTGAATCCTAAGCACCGGTAGGAGGACGAATCTGTCTTAAGTAGAGAGTGTCACACACTCGACTCGATCAGGTTTTTTCTTTTTATGTACTGTAAGTTCTATCACGTTATTATGTTGCTTTATTTTGGTTTTCGGGTTTTTGGTTTTGCCCAAAAAGTGTTTGCATAATTTTAAATTATATTTTCCATATAGTTTGGTACTAGTTTTTCTAACATGTTCTGCACTATAAACGAAAGGTAAATTATATTTTGCTCTTTTTATATTTGATCACTTTTATCATTGTTTCACTTTGATTCTTAAAATTTATTTATTTTTCACTTTGACTTTTTATGTTTTAAGTTTTTTTTCATTTTACTCTTAAAACTAATTTTTGTACAAAATTAGTCAGAAAATGTCATAATAACTGTCATATAATATAAAAATATATTATTATATTAGAATTTAAAATTATGTTAGAGATGCGAGTTATTTATAATAAAATATTTTTATGTCACATGAATGTTAAAATGTTATTTTTTGTCTAATTTTTAACAAAAATTAGTTAAATTATGAAAAACTTGAAACACAAAAGGCCAAAATAAAAAAAAAATAAATCTTAAGGGGTTGTTTGGGATCTTCTAAATAAATACCCTTTTTGACTTTTTATGAAATATGAGTTGAGTTTGAAGTGATGTGGTAGAGAGGTGATGTGATTTCAATAAGATGATATGACTTAAATAGGATAGTGACTTTTTAACTTTTTTTTAAAGGATGCCAAACTTAATTTATCCTATAAACAAACACTATTACACTCTAGCCTTTAAGATTGAATTTTATTTTAATTTATATTTTAAGATAAACTAGTGAGGGGTCCGCGTGCATTGTGCCCATTACAATTAATGAGATTGATTGCATGCTTAACAAAAGAGCAATGTGAGAACAAATAATATTGAGCAGTTTCAAAAAAACTAATAATAATAATAATAATAATAATAATAATAATATTGAGCAATTCATTTAAAATTGACCCACAATTATATTAACTGCAAGGACATGATCATATCTATAAACTATCTTCAAGCAGGTAAACCCATACATGTGATTGTTCAAACTCCAAAGTACATATTCGCAAAAGAACAATAGAAAATTCTAGAAGAGAGAGAGGAGAGTCAAAGAGTGTATGGACGCAGATCACGGTGGTTCACCAGCTCGGAGACCGGAGGACGGCACAGGGACGCTTAACTATTCCACTGTAACCAACCAGCAGCACGACCAAGAGAAGGGTAACGACACTGAGAAATCAATGGAGGAAGAGGATATACTAGAACGTCATAGCAGGAAGAAGGGGAATACTCTGGATGGGCCTGTTTCTGTTAATCGCTCCTTCAAGGAGGCTCTGTCTTCTCCATTTCACCTGATAAGCAGTTCGGAACAGCGAGAGTTACTCTCGAGTGGGGTCGTTGAGGAGGTGTCAGATTCTGATACTTCCATACCCTCCATTGTTCTGTTGAAGGAAAGAGTTTGAGAGAATCCGTAACCCTTGGCAGAACTCACTCATAGTGAAGCTCATGAGCCGGAGTTTGGGTTATACGTACTTTATGGACAGACTCAAGAACATCTGGAAACTACATAGTTTCTTTTTCGGTGTCGATCTGGGCAACCATTTCTTTCTTTTGAAATTCCAAGATGTGGTAGACTCGAATAAGGTGTTGAATGAAGGGCCTTGGTTTGTAGGAAGGAATTTCCTTGCGATTCGTCGCTGGGAACCTGACTTTCAACCGGAGAAGGAAAGTCTTTCTACTACAGTGGTGTGGGTCAGACTCCACAGTCTCCCCATTGAATATTATGACCACCAGATTCTTCGGCGGATTGGTAACAAGTTGGGTAAGGTCCTAAAGATTGACTTCCACACTGAGAATGGAGATAGAGGCAGATTTGCAAGACTGTGTGTGCAAATCGATTTGGCCAAACCACTCATAGCCAAATTGTTAGTGGGGTCCATCCTTATCAATATTGCTTATAAAGGCATTAATGCCATTTGTTTTCACTGTGGAATGATTGGACACAAGTCCAGCGAGTGCCCATCGCTGGTCCAAAATAAGCAGTCATCTGGAAAATTAGGTACTGCCACCCCATCCTCCTCATCTACTGCTACTTTTGGTCCTTGGATATTGGTCCAGAGGAAGGGCAAACAGTTGAAGAATCCGGTGTCGGAGAAGCAAAACAACCGGCGAACCAAACAAGTCTGGACAAGAAAGGACACTAGTTTTCAAAATTTGGCGCCAGTTGTCCAAGACCAGGCTGTCCCACCACTGCCTCAGAAACCTTCGACAATTAATGTTGATAGCAACCCTTCATCACCCATTCCTGTACACGTTAACCCTTTTGGTTGTCTTACAGACTGCTCTATTCCCCCTTTGGAAACCATTCCTAGTATCCTTCACTCTTCAAAAGTCTTACACCCTACTGCAGACCTACAACCTGGTACTTCCGAGTCTACCACTTCAGCACCTGACCCTCCTGTGCCTCGCCTACACACATCTTTGCTTTGTCCCATCACCACCTCGACCAGTATGCATTTTGAATCTTTATCATCTTCTTCTACTTCTGCCCACACTACCTCTTTACTCTCTGCAGATTCTCACTCCGACCTTCACCGTGCCCCGTCGAACCTTTCACTCAAGAACCCCCCACAGCAACCCCACCCGACCATCTAGTCCCCACTCAGAACCAACCCTCCCCTTCCATTAGAACTTTGTAGAGGGTCAGAACCAACCCGGTTGGTTCATGGAGACAACCGCTGGGTACTCCCGGGTGGACGATTGCCTGCTCAAGATGCTCCAGAGGGATCCAACCTTTGTACTGTGGTGGTACGATACGGAAATAATGAACATTTGGATGAGTCTCTTCCCCTTTCTACCCCTACCATCCCATCTGCTGCATCGTCAAACTGTGATTGTCACCTTCCTGTCAACCCTATTCACTCACACAACTGACTTCCCTCGACAACTGATCCAGATGACTCAAGTGATCATGCCCAGTCTGGGACTGCTCTCAAACAGCCAGCCTGTGTTCAACCCACTGGTGGAAGAGACTTTTCTCCCTGCACCACCCTTACCGGTAACAGATCGGATGAACCTATCCTCAATTCCATGGGAGATTACTCTCTGGGGTCATCTCAACCAGGCAATATTGGTAGAGACTTCTCCATTTCTCCAATGACTACGCGTTACTGCCAACTTCTACATAACGCAAGAAAACCGGGCTTTCGAACACATGATTCAACTGTTCCCAAACCTTCACACCGCAGGAGCAGAAGTTCTGGGCCCATAATGGATTTCACAGGAGGAGGAGGTGCTGAAAAATGAGGAGTTTGCACTTCCTCCACTCCCCTTCTTTAAGTCTTTAATGAAGGCATTCTTTTGGAACTGCCGAGGGGCGGCCAATCCCCATTTTTGAAGGGATTTCCGTAGTCTGATGGAGGAACATCACCCCCACTTTGTTGTCATTACTGAAACTCAGGTTGGTGGAGACCAAGGTATAAATATTTGCAAAAGCTTGGGTTTCCCTAATTTTCATGTTGCTGAACCAGTTGGTTTTGCTGGTGGTATTTGGTTACTCTGGAATAGTCTTGAGATCCATTGCGATGTCCTCTCGGTCACGCAGCAGGAGATCCACGCGTGTATCCAGGTTCTATCTCAACCTTCTTCTTGGCTTTTTTCTTCTATTTATGCTAGCCCTCGTTTTAATCTCAGGAAATTACTTTGGGAAAACCTCAAATTTTTTGCTAACTCCCATCATCTGCCTTGGTTGTTGATGAGGGATTTTAATGAAATTCTGACTAGTACAGAGAAATTTGGAGGCCAACCTATTGATACTCGGCGAGCTTTACTGTTTAAGGACTGTTTAGACCATTGTGGGTTGATCGATATGGGCTTCTCTGGGCCTCGATTCACTTGGAATAATTGCCGACAGTCAGGTTGTTTCATTAGCGAAAGATTGGACATAAGTCTTTGTAATGAGAGTTGGGCCCAACTTTTTCCAAATAATAAAATCCTCCACCTCCCTAAACTCCACTCGGATCACTGTCCTATCCTTTTGCACACCCACGCCAACCCCCCTCCCCGGGCTGCTCGACCCTTTCGGTTTGAAACCATTTGGCTATCCGATCCCTCCCTCAGTGTTGTGGTGTCTGAGAGTTGGACTGACTCTAGCCCTTTCCTTCAAGGGACCAAGATGTTTGTCGACAGAGTTTCAATTTGGAACCGAAATACTTTTGGTAACATTTTCTTCCAAAAAAGAAAGCTTGCTAACAGAATTTTAGGCATCCAAAAATCACTGGATTCGGGTCCTTCCCAGTTTTTACTCCGCCTTGAAGGGTCCCTTATTTCTGATTATAACCGCATTCTTCGTCTTGAGAAGGAATTTTGGGCACTCAAAAGTAGAGTTAACTTCACTCTTGATGGGGATAGGAATACCAAATATTTTCACCAAACCACCCTTTCTCACCGCAAACATAATAAATTTTTGCTTTGAAAAATTCTAATGATGTTTGGGTTTATGAGGTTGACGGTATTAAGGCTAATATCCTTACCCATTTCAAGGACTTGTTTACCTATTCCTTCCTCCAGTCTCGCCGTGTTGAGTTTCCCTTCCGGTTGCTAGCTTCTATTGACTCGGTTCATCATCCTGCTCTAGTGGCTACACCTTCTTTGGCTAAAATTAAGAGGGTGTTATGGTCCTTCAAACCTTGGAAGGCTCTCGGACCTGACGGTCTCAACCCCATTTTTTTCCATAAGTTTTGGGCTACGCTTACCCTGTCGGTTGTCAAAGTTGTTTCGGATGCGTTTGAATCTGGTCATATTGATCCTGAAATAAATAAGACCTTGATTTGTCTTATCCCTAAGGTCCTCAATCCTGAAGTGATTACTCAATTTCGCCCTATTGGTCTTTGTAACACCATTTATAAGCTCATTACTAAGATTCTCGTTGCTCGTCTTAGACCCCTTCTTGAAGATCTCATCAGCCCGCTTCAAGCTAGTTTTATTCTGGGCAGAAGAGGAGTGGATAATGTCGTCATTGTGCAGGAGGTTGTGCACAGTTTTAAGGGAAAAAAAGGCAGGATCGGTAACATGTTGATAATACTCGATTTAGACAAAGCTTATGATAGGCTCGAATGGAGCTTTATTCTTAATGTGCTTAGGTCCTTTAATTTCCTGCCTATTTGGGTTAATCTCATCATGTCTTACGTGACTTCCAGTTCGTTAGCTATTCTGTTCAATGGGGAAAAAACTGAGGAGTTCACTCCTTCTAGGGGTATCAGACAGGGAGATCCTATCTCTCCCTACATCTTTATTCTTTGCTTAGAGTTTCTTTCCTCTAGGATCTCTGAAGCCTATGGGAATCATACCTGGACCCCTATTCGTGTTTCGAGAAATGGTCCCCTTCTGTCTTACCTATTTTTTGCCGATGACCTCATTCTTTTTGGCGAGGCCTCCGAGGCCAATTGTCATTCCATCTCTCTCTTGCTTCCGGAGTTTTGCTCATTATCTGGGCAAAAGATCAGTTTTGGTAAATCTAAAGTTCTTTTCTCCTCGAATGTTCAAGATGACAAGAAACATTTTCTTACCTCTATCTTAGGGATCCCTGTCACTAGGAATTTAGGCAAGTACTTAGGCTGTCCCATCTACCATTCCCGACCCAGTAGGGAGTCTTTCCAATTTCTTATCGATAAGATCCAAGGAAAACTTGCTGGGTGGAAGAGCAAGATGTTATCCTTTGCTGGCCGGGCTACTCTGATTAAAGCTGTTAATGAGGCCATTCTTGCTCATATTATGCAGTGTAATTACATCCCCAAGTCGGTGACTAATACCATTGATAAACACAATAGAGACTTTTTGTGGGGTTCTTCCTCGGAAATTAGGAGAATTCATGGAGTAGCTTGGGACACGGTTACCAAACCCAAAAACCTTGGTGGGTTAGGCATTAGGCAAACCTGTTTAGTCAATGCAGTCTCTATGGCTAAGTTGAGTTGGTGTTTGTCGAGGGAGGACAATTCTCTTTGGGCAAAAACTTTGAAATCTAAGTATGGGGGGACTATGCGAGTTTGTAGTAAGACTTCTCCAACTTGGAGGAATATGCTTAAGGGTTCTAACATTCTTGAAAAAGGATCGAAAATGCTCATTAAAGATGGTAGATCAACCCGGTTTTGGATAGATGAGTGGGCTAAGTGCGGGCCTTTACGTGGCTGTATTGAAGGTCCGTTGGCCCCTAGTGATTCCTCGCTGCGGGTGTGTGATTGTTGGGTGGCTAACGACTGGGACTTTTCCCGTCTATCCTTCGTTGTTCCCTCTGAAATTCTGGATTGTATTAGAAGCACCTCTCTATCCTGGTTCAACACTGGTAAGGATATCCGGGTATGGAAGCATTCAACTGATGGTAAGTTTCGTAGTAACTTTGCTTACCTCCTGACTAAGGAGTTTCATAACTCTCCTCCCATTACCAACTGGAGTTGGGTATGGGCTATTCGGGTTACCCCTCGTATCCTACATTTTGTTTGGCGTGTTCTCTATCTTAAGCTTAACACTAAGACTCAACTGTTCCATAGACAGATTGTTGCAGATAACCTCTGTCCGGTCTGTAAATGCCTCCCTGAAACCATTGATCACGTGTTTAGAGACTGTCCCTCTGCCTCTCATTGTTGGTCTTGTATCAGCATTCCCTCGGAAGTCATCCCCTCATTTTCCCTTGAACTTCATTCTTGGTTCAAGCTAAATTGTCAATCTCGTGTTGTCCACTGTTCTACTGTCAATTGGGCCATCCTTTTTCCTTTTGTCTGTTGGGCCATTTGGTTACACCGTATTTCTTTTTGCTTCCACACCAGTCCCACCCCTTTTAAGGCTCCAATAGTGGTTGCCAAAGCCTTAGAGTGGCAACACATTACCGATTCTGGTGGTCTCATCAGAACCTTTTGCAATCTCTCTTTCGGTTGGAAACCCCCTCTCTATGGGGCCTACAAGCTCAACACTGATGGTGCAGCTAAATGTCCTCCTGGTTCAACCACTGGTGCTGGAGTTACTCACCCTACGGGTTTAGCTGCTAGAGGAGGTGTTATTCGAGACTGGATGGGTTGTTGGGTTGCAGGTTTTGTTCGTAACATAGGTGTAGCCTCAGCTATGGAGGCAGAATGTTGGGCCCTGAGAGACGGTTTGAAGCTGGCCATGGACTTAGGCTTATCTGGAATTTGTGTTGAAACAGATGCTAAAGCTGTAATCAACCTTGTTTTGCAAGAACCTCCTTCAGATCATCACTTCGGTAATCTCATTCTTGATTGCAGGTACCTCATGAGGGAGCTTCGGATTGTGATGGCTGATCATATCTATCGAGAAGCCAACAAGTGTGCGGATATCCTAGCAAATCAACGCAGTCTTGCCATTACCGGATTTCATGTTTTTGATTCTGCGCCTCGTTTTGTTTTGAAGCAACTGTATGATGATGCTAGAGGGGTTTAATACCCCAGACACTTGTTATCTGTTTAATTTATATTAGTTCTCAGTTTTACCAAAAAAAAAAATATTCGCAAAAAATGAGTCAAGGACATTCCATCAATTAGGCTATGATCAACCCAAAAATGCTTTGTCCCACCAACTGAGGACCCCTTATATTACGAGTACGGATCATCTGCCGTGGTCACCTGCAATACTTCCTGCGGTGATTCCACAATGATATCGTTTTGAATTTCTTTTTCCCTGCTCTCCTTTCCCCCTCTTTCCTTTCTCTCTCATCCATTAGAACCTTAACCCGACTGAACTAGAATAGAGGAGAAGAGAGAGACAAAGCTGAAGGATTAAAGTCGGTAAGGTGAAACGGCCGCGGCAAGGTTTGATTTCTTGTTGTTATAAATGGGTTTGGTTTAAGTGGATTTGATTTCTTGAGTTTTGTGGGGTTGAAATCTACCACACTGCAATCTTGACAAGCTTGAAAATGAACCGGAAAAATCTATGGTCCCAAAATTTGGGACCATGAAATTGCCCAGATTTCTATATCTATGGCGTGTGTTTAGACTCTCTTTTATTGAATCACCTCATAAATAAACTTGGTCATTTGCTTTGAAATTCTGAGTTGATTTCTGGTTTTATATTTTGGGTTTTTAGAACCTTTTTTTTTTGGGTGAATGGGTTTCTAGAACCACTGAGGATGAACAATCAGATTGAAGAGAGAACCGACTAACAGGAAAGGGACATGAATTATTGTAATAACTTGATGGGTCATCATCATATTTACCACAGATCATGCCATTCATTGGATTACAAAACCATGAACATGATGAACATTGCTTTGTGGGTGATGAAGATTGAGTGATGAGGGATCTCACCCAACTACATTTCAAGCTCCTCGCTTCGCCGCCATAGAATCGCCGTCGCCCTCAACCTATCTCTGTACACCTGTCATTTCATGGTTTAGGGTTCTCAACAAATGAAAGAGAAAAGAAAAGAGGGGGAAAGGACAAAAAGAAGAAAAAAAAAACTTGCAAATTTGGAACACTGCAAGAAGCATTGCAGGAGACTACGACAGATGATATAGTACCACTACTAACATAAAAAGCCCCATGTGAAAAGAGACCCATGCTCCACTTTCTCTCTCAAAACCCTCAAGTCTATTTCTGTCCCTCTCTCTGTGAGGCCCCTGAAAATTTTAATTTCTTAAAAGTCCCTTACTTTAAAATTATTTCCTTGAAGTCCCTCAGTTTCTTAATTAATTGCAACCCTAGGATCAAAATACATGCACCAACAAAAACCCGCAAACCCTAATTGATTTCAGAAACTGAGAAATAATTTCTAATACTCTAATTGACTCCCTAAATATGAAATTACCACTTGGAAACCCTAGGTTTTTCCAGTCCTTATCACGTTCGTCGGTTGATCGCGTTTTTATTCGAAACAATAAATCCAAACCAAATTAGACTCTCTAACATTTAATTTGACACTAAAATAAATGTTCTAATTCATAAATTAAACCCAATGCCCTCATATTTTTCTTAAATCACATTTTGACCCCAAACTAGTACCATTACACACATATATACATATATATACTTGTACCTTTCTTAAATAAATAATTTTATACACAAATATCTTCATATATATACATAAAATCAACAAAATCTCCCCAAATCTAGCACATGGCCAGCCACCCTAGCATATACACTTGTTGTGTACTTTTGGAGACAACATTGCATGATTCATGGAGGAAAATTTGACCTTGGTACCATAATTCAAGGAAAGTTGTCTTGTACTTGTAACTATCTTGGTTATACTTAAGCCTAACCCTACCTAGATCATGCCTTAATACATGATTAGGCTCCCTAATGATACTTCATTCCATTACAGTCCAACTAAATACATCTCAATTCCATTCCATTCCAACCAATGGGCATTTTGGACCTTTTACACCAATTTTATTATAAAAACACCACTACCCTCCACATGTTACACATCTCATACACTCACACACCTACACATTCAGTTGAGAGAAAGAAAGAAGAGGAAGAGAGTGAACTTTGGTAGTAGAGGAGAGGAAAAGAGAAGAAATTGTGCAAACATTTCACTAGGCAATCAAGTAGGCCACAACACAACTCTCTCTTTCATTTTCCTTTTTCAAATACATGTTATTAGAAGTTTTAAATGGTACTTTCAGATGTGTTTTGATAGTTTCGTGTTAAAAATGAAATAAGTTGGGCCTTGATTCTACCCTTCTTGTATTTGTCTTAATCAGTATAAGAGTACCTTTTTCCATATCAAACTCTCAAAATTTCCAAAGGCACACCTTCACCTTAAATTTCTGAGTTTAATACATATTATTTAGCAAGTTTTCATTTCAAGATAAGTGGAAAATTTCCCCTAGTTAACCTCTTTTCTCACCAAATTTCTATTTTCAAGAACTGTGCCAGAAAAATCTGTTTTTCATCTAACTTTAGAAATTTCTAGAAAAATGTAGAAAACTCTTATGGACCTCCATTTCATGTCAAAATCTTCCTTAAGGAGTTATATTTCAACTAAAATTGGTTTCATCAAAAACGAGTGAGCGATTTGTGAGAAACTCCAATTTTCGTAACGGTCGACGAATTTGGACAGCGCTGGAACATTTCTTAAATAACTAAAAATCTAGAAAAGTTATCACATTTCCAAAACATGTTCTGAAAACTAGATTAAATTCTGTATGAACCACAGGAAGGCTAGGTTCGGGAAAGATCTGAGATAGCCCTTTTGATTTTAATCTCTAAATGGTATTGAATCTGGAAATTTAGTTTTGCATGGGTGTTTTATGCTCGTGTGTTCATGAATATGCTTATTAGTACATGATCATGTCTTGGTATGATATTGCATGTGTTATGGTTATGTTCCTTATCTTCTTCAATTGATGATGTTCATGCTTATGTGGATATTACTACCTTGTTAAGTTGTTCTAACTTTAATTTAAAACATTTAACTTAACGGGAAACTTAATTGGGGTGGTATTGGGTTTTTGATCATTTGAATATTGAAGAGATGATAATGTGGTATATATGGATTGATGGGATGTGCTCCCTAATTGAAGGATAAGTCTTGCGCAAGTGGTTGTCGCGCAAACCCTAGAAAGGAACGGACATATTCGGACTCTTTACGATGGTTTGGTTGGCAAGATAAGGTTGGGTCCGGATGGGACATTCAGGAGGATAAAACTTTTTTGGAAGGATAAGGTTGGACTCTGGGTGATAAAACTTTTTTTCTTTTCACTGTCCCTTTTGAGGTCCTGCGGTTGGCGCTTTGCGGTATATAACCATTGGTAGGCATCCGAGGTTAGTTCTGCAACAAAGCAGCAAAAAGAGGAGTTCCAAATAGTCCGGTGTCCAATTCTTGTGGTTGGGAGGATGAAATCTCTTTGGGGGATTTCTAGAATACTAAATACTAACATTATAACATCTGTTATCTATTTGAATGACATGTTCCTTTCCTCTATTATTAAAATTGCTATTATTGACTTGAATATCATGCTTCACTACTTGCTTGCTGTAAATATGATGGTGTATTGGATTGGGAAAAAGGGACGGGGTGTGTGTGCGTTTATTGGGCATTCAAAGCTCATGGCATTTCATGCCAGGTATTGAAGACTATTAGACCGGTCGAAGGCAAAGCTGAAGCATTTGAGGACGTACGGCTACCCCTAGGAGGATTAGAAATTAGTTTGTAAACGTGTTTTGAGATTGTAAGTGATAGATCCCATGTTGTATTTAAGACATGATTTTGTAATTTGTATATATATAACATTTGTAACCTATCCTTATACTCCGTCAACTCATGTAGGTCTTGTGTTAATACCTTGTCAAGATCTGTCGAAAATGTAGCTTTGCTATCTAAGGTGGTTGGACTTTGAAGGGAGGCTATTTTGACTTCTCCGACCTTCCTAGGATCTTGCTTGGTTATTATCCAAAGGACTCATTAGTGATGTTTCCTACTCTTGTAACCTTAGATAAACCCTGTATTTAATGGTTAATATATTATCTGATGTTCCCGACTTTTGGGGCGTCATACTCTCCCTATCTCCTCTCTTGATCCAAATCAAACCCTCTTCTTTGCATCCCTCTCTGGTGAGTCTCTACCTCTTCGACATCCCTCTCTGGCATCCTTCTATTTTCTCTCTCTAGAAATTATTAAACTCACCATAATCACCGGCAGCAGCAACCCCCCTTACCCTTTCATCCATTTATGGCTGACACTATCCCTCCAAGCCCCTTATCCTCACCCTTCTCCCCCGTTCCCTTATCTCTTTCTCTTTCCTTGCTTTTTGTTTCTTCTCTCTTTCTCTGTCTACCCATTGCGACCAGATAAACACTCTTTTTCTTGTTATCCATTAATTTACTAAGCATATCTCTATCGACAATGTCCAATCTCAATCTCAACCGCTTTTCCTTTCTCTCTAGAATCGATTCCCTCTATATTTAGCACAAGCAAGATCATACATTTCTTCAATCAAAGCAAGATAGAAGAAACAATGTCTTCTCACACCTCTCAATTTGATCAAGAACTTCTAATCCAGAAGTTTGATGTCTTCAATATCCAAGGCAGAGAGAAACGAGGCCGCAACATCCTTCGTATCATCGAAAAGTTCTTCCCTGGTAATCTAATCAACTCTCTCTCTCTCTCTCTCTCTCTATTTCTATATATATATATATTTGGATTTTGATTGATTTTCTTGGTTATGTTATCAACTTGGATTGTGAGTGTTGATGCTCTGAAGAAGTATTTGGAAGAGAAGATCTTTCCTAAACTGGAGAAGAAGTTCTCCGGCTTTTTGTTTCTCCATTGTTTCTTGTATTGAAGCTCCGACCGGTAATGCATGATACTGTGTTTGAGTTTTGCTTTTGAAGTGGGTTTGTGTAATTGAAGAATTTGCTTGCTTAGTTTTATCATTCAAGAGGAGAAAGGAGGTCTGATTTCGGCGTCGGAGACTGAGAAGAGAACACAATTGGGAG